ATGAACAAAATTTTCAGTCGTGTTATTTATTTCAAATGTAACAACTAATTAAGTCAGCAACCCGTTTGATTTATAATTGCTGTTTTTTATGTTTTGAGTTTAATATTTTGGTTATATGACATTTTATTTGGATTTTAGTTTTTACTATAGAAATTCGTATTTTAAATTAACTTGAAATCTCTAACTTTATATTTGGATTTTTTTATAATTATAAGTCCTCATAAATTTCCGACGAAGTTTCGACGATGACGTGGACTTTTGTTTGTTATTCGTCAGAAATTTTTATAACTTTTCTGTTACATTTCCGATAAATTTTCATGTCCGTAATTTCTGCGAATTTTAGTTTCGATCGACGGTTTATTTTTGACGAATTTAGTGTTGTCGAAAATATTCGGAATAAGCAGTTTCCGAAGAATCAAGCCTTGTTTCTTTTAGTATAAGCATAATATGAATCAATGAGCTATTGAAAGTTATTTACTTGAATGTATATGATTAATATTGCACCATCTTATATATTAGTGAAATTATCATATGATTAATAAATGGATATATTTTACCCATCAAATTAAATAGACACAAATATAATTTAGGTTAGTGTTACTTCTTTAAAGAAATTGCATTTTCTCTCCCCAAAAAAAGCTTAGGCATTGTCTCAAATTTTTTTTTAAAGATTTGGAGAGAGACGTCAATCAACTAAGAAGTATGAACCAAAAAAGATGTGGATGTGTTTTTTCATTATTACGCCAATATGTGGAGGATTAATGAAACGAATACATACATAAATATAAATTGCATAATAATATATAGGCATGAGAATGGTCCTAAACACCTAATTAGTCGTCATGATCTCAAGTAAATTCTCAACAATAATCTTTGATTATGAACTAATAGATACCCTTTATCCTCCTTTAAATCACCATCATCACCTTTTTTTTTTGGTTTAATGAGATCTTGACATCTTGTATACTAAAATCATGATCAATGTAAAAGTGATGCGTATATATATATAGGTATATATATATATATATACTCATGCATGTACAGTCATATTATCTAAATAATCTCTATATATCAGGTACCAAAACTTGTATATCATTAGACTCTTTTTTAGGTTTATGATTACGTGATCATTTATTTTTTCGGTTAATGCATGATTACGTGATCACGCATGAGTGCTTTCCGATATTTAACAATGAACTTAAGAAGGGAAAAACGAGAAGAAGAAAATAAATGGAAGGAAACATGGCGAAAACCCACAAACGGCGGAACAGATCACGGGCTGGATTGATAAGCAAATAAGGAATCAGATTTCGGCAATTCGTCTACTAGGAGATAGGAGATACGACGAAGCCTACCAAGCTTGGATCAACTCCCGAACTTAAGAAGACTGTTTTAGCAATTCAGTTCTAAATTATATTTTTGATTTATTTTCAGCGAAATGTTGCACTAGTTGTACAAACGAATATTTTTTCTTTTGAATATAATTTAACATTAGATTCAAAAAAAAAAAAAAGAGAAGAAGAAAATAAAAATGTTAATAATTGAGGTTATATATATACAATAATGTTCGTCTTTCCATATTTGATTTATCATAAAATTTGGGTATCCATAATTTCTCGAGTAAGGCTTATTTGGCTATCCGTTTTTTTTTTTAATCCATTGATTACTGAGTTATATGAATTTGATAGTTTTTCTTACTCCGATCAATCTTAGAGATAGATTGATCTAATCTATATCTGCCGATTATAATTAGATAAAAATGCATGAGAAAAAAGATTAAAAAGCAAAAGCAAATATAAAGACCAAACTATATTATACCAAAAAAGAAAAGAAGACTTAAATTTTAGCTTTAGGATTGATAGCTTGAGAAATAAGATAAGTATAAATTCTAGTCTCGTAATTTTTTGTTTTTGTTTTTTTATGTTCGTCTCCCTTTCAACATGTGATGTGGTCGTACGAGAGAGACCTTTTCGCTTTATAAGGTCATGTGATCAATCAACGTATTAATTATGTGTGTATATATAATTTTCTCATTACTCAAATTACTAATATATATTTTAATATATATTATCTCATTTTTGGTTTTGACATGTATATATTTTTAACATGAACAGTTAACATCTAGATGTGGATGTGTAGATCCGAACGGATCACAAATATTTTAGATAATATTTGAACATCTGTTTCATACTCTATACTTTTTATTCTTTCGATAAGATTTTCTTTCCAAGTAATATATACAGATTCTAAAATCTAAAATGTGATTCTAATTCATAATATATAATCTAAAATGTAACGAGTGTAGGATTCATAGGATATACTAACAACGATAACATGTAATTTGGTAAACTTTGCTAATGTCGTTTCTATGCTACCGATCGGCTTCAAGTCCATATAATATATATTATTTAAAAATTTATTCATGAAAATGATATGATTACAAATATCAGTAATAACTAATTCACTGTGAAAGAAAGTTTTTGAAAATATCATTTACATTTCATAGTAAAATACACTTAACATATATACGATCAACAGAACTATCTAGATAATCAATTTTTTTAGTTACATGTCGTTGTGTCTTCGTTGGTCACATGAAAGTGAGTTTTCTTTTTTCTTTCTTTCTTTCGCTTTTATGCTTTGACAGTTTTTGTTTACACAACGTTCAACATTATCATAGCATCTTGGCATCTTGGAGAACTAAAGATGTGTAAATTCATCATTTCATATCAAGAAATAAAAGGAGAAAACGTGGGCACTTTTTACTTTTGTCTAATAATTTGAGAAAGAAACATATATAGACGGTAATAAGTTTTGGCTATTATTTAGTAAAACATAGTTTACATAATTACATATATATACCTGAAGTTTTTATGTTTACAATCTTAATCCAATTTCTATACAAAACTTACGATTCAATACTAACTAAGTCATTAACTCAATACTTGGAGCTTCCTTTAAGTACCTTTTTGTGAATACATTAATTAATCGTAAATGTTTTCCGTTCACCTACCATAAACAGTTAATTAATTGATTACTTGGAGTAAAAAAAATCGATGACATACATATCATATATGTAATATATTGGGCATGTATATATCGATAAAATTCGACCATAAAACTCCCACAACTAACTCGAAGTCATCATTAAACCCTATAAGATCTTCAGTTCTTTTCCTTGTCTTTAATTTATCTTTAAAGGTAATTATATTTATATCTTTCTGTTTAATTATGCTTTTCAATTGTTTGAGTAACTAGCTAGTTTCTACTAACTGCAGTTTTAAATTTTATTTTTTTCTGTAACAATCTCACAAAAGTACAAAGGAAGAAGAACGAGAAGAGAAACCCTAACATGGGACAAAATAAACAAGTCCAGAAAGATTCTCCATTATATGAACAAAGTAGTATCATTTTGGCTTCAAGTCAAAGTATGTTTGTGTGTTCTCTATACTATATTTATACATTTATAGTAAGTTTCTTTCATGGTTCTAAATTTTTCTACCAGAAAAATAAAGGATGATCTACAATTTTGTGAACAAGTAAACATGAAAAGCGTCATGACTCAACGACGTATTAAATATATCTCTTTCATTAATTAATATTACGATCATAGTAATGTTCAACGATGGAGTTGGATTGACTTATATATATGGATGAATTTTTGCATTTAGATTATAAATTCTTTCAATTTATTTTATTTTATTTTGTATGTAGATGAAAAACTTGTTGAGATAGAGAAAGAGAAGAGACTTGCGTTGATAGATGCATGGGAAGAGAACGAGAAGGCAAAAGCTCAAACCAAGTAAGAGATACCAAACCAAATATATATAATGAGGCTAGAACCATAAAGATCAACATTGTTTTGCATTCAAATTACTAACAAATTTCTCACAGAAATATTGACGTGACCATAATTGAATTTATATATATGTGGCAAGATATGCGAGTTTACCGCTTTTATACTTTATAATATCAATATATTATTTACATTTTGTTCTTTGAATCAATGTAAGCAGGGCTTACAAAGAACTTTGCTCCATTGAATCATGGGAGAACAACACAAAGACAGCTCTAGAGTTAGATTTGAAGAAAATGGAGGTATATAGAGAATTTTAGCTATTCAATATTTTTTTTCTTCAATTTCTTTTAGCTATTCAATTTATTGAACGTTTATAGTAAAAATACAAACAATATCATAGAAAAGTACTTTTGTTCAACACTTTTATTCATATAGTCTCCTCTATGAATGTATATATGTCTATGTTATCTAGTTTTACTACGATTTAAAAATTATTTCTGTTTATTCTTTTTTTATCAGGAGAGTTTAGAAGTGGAAAAAACTGGATACTCAAAAAAATTCAAGAAGAAAATACCAGAAATTGAGAAGATTGCAGAAGCTAAAAGAGAAAAAATAGAGAAACAAAAGGAGCAAGAATCTATCAAAGTGGAAAAAATAAGTGAGAAGCTAATTGCAACTCCAAATGCATATCCACCCAACACCAAAACCTGTGGATGTTTCTAAAACATTTATATCCTCCTTTCATGGGTTACTTCTCGGCCCATCAAATATATTATTGGGCTTTCCTTATACGCAAACAAATAATGAAAAGAATCTATGATTCTATGTGTAAGGTGTGAACTTTCAAGCATCAATGTATCATTCAATCAATGTGTATGTAATATGACTCTATGACTCATGCATTCATGCTCAATTTCTCTAATAAAAGTATAAAACTTTGGTGCACAAAAGAAAAAAAAAAAGTATAAAACCTTTAGTTATTGTAGATATGGTGTTCGACAAAATGTCTAAGTGACTTTCTTAGAAGTGGTTTATGTTTTATTAATCCTCCTCTTTAATCCTTGGTGTTTGATGCCACGTCATCAGGTTTGGTGGAATCAAGTTGGGTCGGGTTGAGATTCGGGTTAACGGGTTGACCCAATTACCCATTGCTCGCTTTTTCTTATTTCTTCTCTTCTCTTCTCTCAGTGCTCTCACCTAACGCATCATAATCAGTCGTCGTTGAAATCAGGGAAGATGGTGGGAGTGTCACCGAAGATCGCTCCATCGATGTTGTCATCGGACTTTGCAAATCTTGCGGCGGAGGCTAAGCGGATGATCGATTTAGGCGCCAATTGGCTTCACATGGACATTATGGTAACAACCTTTATTGCTTCTTCTTCTTCTCCGAATCTGAACTTTTGATTTCACTCAATAAATTTACTTACTTGGTGTTTTAAAGGTTTCACCTTTGATATGAATATGATAAGAGTTCAAGATTGTACCTATCTTTGAAATCTGAATCCGAATTGTACAAAGAATTATGATTTGTTATAACAAAAATGGAAAGAAGTTGATTCTCAATCACTCTAGGGTCTGGTGTGTTGAATGTTGTGGAATTCTGATCTGAAACTTGTATCTCTGCTTTTAGTATGAAACAACAACCAAGAAGCTGATTTTTGTTCTTGTTATGGTCCTTATGGACTTACATGCTACATAACCTTTGCTTGTTCCATACTTATTACACTGTTATTTCATTTGCAGGACGGGTAAATTTTACTGCTTTAGCTGTGTTTTTTACTCTGTGGATTATGACTTATGAGCATCCAGTCGGTATAATTCTGTGTTACTCGGGCAGGCATTTTGTTCCGAATCTAACGATTGGTGCTCCTGTCATCGAGAGTTTGAGGAAGCACACAAAGTAATGCACTACATCCCTTTGATTAATATATCTGACATGTTCATGTCCTTGAAAACTTATCATTCCTTTTATCACAGTGCATATCTTGATTGCCACTTAATGGTGACGAACCCCATGGATTACGTGGATCAGATGGCTAAAGCTGGGGCGTCTGGTTTCACATTCCACGTTGAGGTGGCCAAAGGTATATATAGATAGCTCTTTCCCCCACACCATCCTCCAATTTTGTCTCATCCTAATGCTCGGTCTTGACTTGTGTTTTACTTATTTTCAGAGAATTGGCAAGAACTTGTGAAAAAGATCAAGTCTACTGGGATGAGGCCAGGTGTGGCTCTAAAGCCTGGAACACCTGTTGAACAAGTCTATCCTCTGGTATTGAAATATTAAAATTCTGTTTGGCCAGAGTGCGATTGGGTTATCGTACTTGCTTGACCTATGTATGACAGGTCGAAGGTACAGATCCGGTTGAAATGGTTCTTGTGATGACTGTGGAGCCTGGATTTGGTGGCCAGATGTTCATGCCCAACATGATGGACAAGGTTATGTTTCCAACTCTGCAAATCGAAATCCCATTTGCTTATTGAAATCCCCTTGTAACCTCAGTTTTTGATATTCTTGATATAGGTCCGGGCATTGAGGAACAAGTACCCAACACTTGATATTGAGGTAAGGCATCTCAATCCTACAGTTCAGACAGTGTTTGATCTTTCCTTAAACTGAGTCCTATCTCCTGGATCAGGTGGACGGCGGCTTAGGCCCTTCCACAATCGATGCAGCGGCTGCAGCTGGGGCCAACTGTATCGTCGCAGGAAGCTCAGTGTTTGGAGCTCCTGAGCCTGGGGACGTCATATCCCTTTTGCGGGCCAGTGTTGAGAAGGCGCAGCCCTCCACTTAAGGGAGTGGGAGTGCCCCAAGCAATAACTGTAAGAGCCAAGGCCTTTATAGCTAATACTTTTTTATAATTCTTTGAAATGGAATAAATCTTTAATCTGTCTCAGAGCTTTTGCCCTAGCGATGAACTTTCTCAAGAAAATCACCGCAGATAGAAATCTTTGTTCAAAAATTGTTGATATGTAGCAGTTACATTTTTGTTTATCAGACTTAATTAGATAATCCAGATATTCAATAGACAATCTGATTAAGCTTCAGCTTAAATTTCAAGAGCATTGAGCAATTTAATCTGAAACAAAAATTCTCTTTATGAACCACTAGAAATATCAATATCACGTTTTTATTGATCAAAAATTCATAACAGAAACGATCAAAGCCAACCGAAGAATCAAAAATGATCGAACCAAACCTTCTTAACAGAACTAACCAGAACCAATCTCGTTTCAACTCACAAAACTACCAGAGGACCTAACCTAATTCGATTTTCTCGAAGGATCGAAGATTTGACCAAGGAACAAAATGGTTCCGGTTTTGTCTTCTCTAATCAAGAAAAGAAATGGATGATCTGCCACAAAATCTATCCTCTTCTCCATATGAAAACCAGTGCCTGTTTCCATCATTCCAAAAGTAACAGCCGCAGCTTCAGCGCCGTCTTCATCGATCTTGACACAAGCTTTATGGTACAACGACAATGAATCAAGTTCAGGAAAATCCAAAGTGGAAAACATGAAAGAGATGTTAAACTTTGGAATTCTGAAATCAGCCACTTCAACTCGGTATCTCGGAATGTGACTATCTACAAATCCAGGAGTAGATACCATTTCCTTCAAAAGACTATCCAATCCATCATTCTTGTCAGGAAGATAGAAATACATTGAGAATTTTCGTTTGGTATCATCATGGCCTTTGTTGGTATGGTAGTCCAAGGTAGAACTGTCAAATGGTCATCCGACCATGGGCTAAGCCCAGTCCAAAATATTATGGACGGTCCGTGGTCAGCCCATAAATAAAATGGGTCATCTGGTCTAAAGACCAATTTTGTCCATGGAGCCCATACGGACAATTGGTTGGCCCAGTTTCATTAAAAACTAGGGTTATTCAATTTTGGGGGAAAATTAAATCTCTTTTTGTCTCAAAAACTAAATCGCTCGAGCTGCATATTCTCTGTTACGGCTTCAAAATCGCCATCGGAAGGTGGTAAACTCGATCATCGGGACTTGTCACGAACCGGAGCATCATCGGAAGGTTGGACTCATCATCACGGCTTGTGGGTTTGTCCATATTTCACTCGTTTTGTTCTTAGTGTAATGAATTGAGAATTACGTTTTCTGGGTTTTGTGTTCTCTGGGTTTCTACGTTTTCTGAAACAATCTCTTCAGACTTGTGTTCTCTGGGTTTCAATGTTTGGGTCGCTCGTTGTTTAGCTGGTTTTGGAGATTAGTAGTTGTTTAGTAGTTGTCTCGTGTTTCTTTTTGGAGATTTTGTTTTGAATCTGAAGGTTTTTGAATGTTATTGTAGATCTTCTGTACAAAGATTACCAAGGAGACCAGAAATTCAGTGTCACCACTTACTCTTCAACCGGTGTTGTAAGTTTTTCATACTCTATTTTGTTGGTGAAATGGGTTTTGTTTGTCTTCAGATTTCTTGAGTTTTAAACATAATTAGTGAAGGAATTTGAGATTTGTCTAGTTTTCTGTTTGAATTTGCTGCAGTGGTTGTAATACATTCACTGTTACTATATAGTATATTCTGTGTTAACACTCAATTAGGTCTTATATTGGTTTTTATTACTTCTTGTATGTCTGACGGTTTCTATGATTCCACTTAGACTATCACTCACTTTTATAAAAATCTTATTATGTTATAGGAAAGTAGTATACTATGCATAATTTTGTAATTTGTCTTACTATTAGGAATTTAGGACATTTCATTTCAAAGTTACACATAGTGGTTGTGATATAAGCTCTTTATTTTGGTAAGTAATCACTGTGTTCAGATCTCTGATAAATTAGGAAATACAGTACTTTTGTTCCAGTGTTTTTGAGTGTGGTAAACAAAGACACCATCAGCTTAAACATCAAAGTATGAAGTTATGCAGTTGCATGTTGAGCTCTGTGAACATTTCTAGATGGGAAAACAGTAAGGCTTAGTTAAAATGTCTCTTCTTAAGCTCTTTGCTGTTTTACTTGCGCCTCTCCTCTTGTAGTAGTAAGAGTTATGTGTATGTAGAGGAACCAGCTTCGTGCTGTTGTTATTTATTTTCAGCTTTGACTCAAGTTTTATGATTTCACAAGTTGTTCTACTTTATATGTTTTCTCTATGTTTGGGTCACAGTGATATCTATCTAGATTAGTTTTCTATGTGTTTAAGATGTTTTTGGGACTTTCTTTTTTGGCAGAAACAAGACTTTACGTATTAACTTTATGTGTGTTTGAGTTTTGGCTAATTTTGTCTCTGCATTTTATTCTTTTCAGCTGCACAATACTCTTATATGGGTTTTGAAAGTGCTTAATCTGTATAATTCATAAGCCTTTTGTTCATAGATTACTTATCCTCTTAAATGGCTGCTTTATTTCTTCAGATACCGGGGCGGAAGTCTTGTCCCGATATGTCTATCAGGAGGCCTCAAATCCCTCGGCTTCTTCTCCAAAACGTCTCTTGCATGAGAAACGCGCAGCAGATTCTAAGACACGTGAATGTATCTCTTCATGACGGTGGTGCACTTGTCTTAACTGGAACAAACGGATCCGGTAAATCAACATTCTTGAGAATGTTAGCTGGATTCTCAAAACCCTCTGCAGGAGAAATCCTTTGGAACGGTCACGACATCACACAATCAGGTATCTTCCAACAGTACAAACTCCAACTAAACTGGATCTCTTTAAAAGACGCCATCAAAGAGAGATTCACAGTACTCGACAATGTCCAATGGTTTGAGCTTCTTGAGAATAAAATCGGCAAAGCTCAACCCGCATTGGAGCTAATGGGTTTAGGGAGACTGGTGAAAGAGAAATCGAGAATGTTGTCCATGGGTCAGAGGAAAAGATTGCAACTTGCAAGGCTCCTCGCTATCGACCGACCGATTTGGCTTTTGGACGAACCATCCGTTGCTTTGGATGATGAAGGAGTTAGATTGCTCGAGTATATTATCGCAGAGCATAGGAAAAAAGGAGGGATTGTGATTGTCGCGACTCATCTTCCTATTGAGATTGAAGATGCTATGATCTTGAGGCTTCCTCCTAGATTTCCAAGGAAAATGACTTTGATTGATATGCTTGATCGTGCAGACATTTCTTAGTAGAGAATTCCAAAGATTATATTTAAGAGTGTTTTATTTCGTGTAATGGAATGTTAGTATTCTCAAGCAAATTTGGTTAGTGGAGTTTTAGTAAATCTAAAGTCCAAATTTAATGGAATGGATTAATTAGGAAATTTCACAAACTTATCCTAAAATTGAAATAACTTAACTATAAATTTTGGAATGACAAATAAATCTTTTGTTTTTGGTCATCAGACAAAAGAATCCATGCTCTGAAAAAGTAATACACATTCTAATCTTGAAATTGCCACAGATTAAAGAACCAATAATAAAACTTTTATGAAAAGAAGGAAACAACGAATAGCGGTCGCTCTTTAGGATTTGGCACGAGTCAAACGTATACGTTTGTACATTGACCTATTGTTCTTATTACTATGTCGTGTCGTGTCTGTTCTTAAACCCCATCCATCGATAACTGAAACTAAGCATGAGCTGTTTTTTCTTTCATTGACGAAAATACCCTCAAGTCATTTTCGTTCTTCAGTTCTTCTTCTTCTTTTGATTAAAGACTCCATGAGAAGTTTAAATTCTCACTGACCCATTTGTTTTCTTGCAATCTTTTGTAGAACCCTGAACCAAAGTTTGCATCTTTCTCTTTAAATTTTGTGTCTTTCTTTAATTCTTTGGAGGGGGTTTTCAAAAGTAAGAATCTTGAAAAATGGGTATGGGCACAAGCACTTTCGTTATCAGATGGGTCAATCTTCTTACAATGGTTAGCTTCTTCCTCTTCTTCTTTACTTAGTTTCTAATTCTGAGAACCGCATTTGATCGTCCTTTGATTCCTCTTTAATGGATTAGAATCTGGGTTTCCGTACAACTTAGGTTATGGTTCTGTCTTATGAAGATTCTTAGTGAAATTCCACTGCTTTAGGTTTAATAATGTGCAAGTTTCTACCTTTCAATGTTGATCGTTTCTGCAACTTTATAGTAATGTCTGTGTATTACCACTTTTGGTGAAGCTATTGGCTGTGGCAGTGATAATATTTGGGGTGTGGATGAGTACACACAATGATGGTTGCAGAAGGTCACTTACATTTCCAGTCATAGCTCTTGGTGGTTTCATCTTCTTGATGTGAGTTTCTTACACTACTTTCACAATTGGCATTACACAACAATGGTTCTTCCTTATGTTTTTTTTTTTTTTTTTTTTTTTTTTTTTTATTGTGTTTGCTTTATTGTTCATGAAATGTCTATGATCTGATGTTTTTCAGATCCATAATCGGGTTTCTTGGGGCGTGCAAGAGAAGTGTGGCGCTTCTTTGGATTGTATCCTTTACTTTTCATGTTCTGTTTTCTGTTTCTTTTGTTGGAAAATTTTGGATTTGAATCTTCCTTGACATGATTGATTCTCCTTTGAAGTATCTTGCCGTGCTCCTGATCGTTTTGATCGCGATTCTTGTCTTTACCGTACTAGCGTAAGCCTCATCTTCCTAATGGTTAATCATGAAAATTCAGCTGTTGAATCATTAAAGATCTCATTTCTTGTCCTCTTTTCCGTTTTACAGGTTCATTGTAACAAACAATGGTTCTGGCCATACTAACCCTGGTCTGAGGTAACTGTAACTTATTTCTCCTAGGTTACATACTTACTTCAATGTATAAATTCTTGAAACTTTCTACCTCAAACTAGGTACAAAGAGTATAAGCTGAATGATTACAGCTCATGGTTTCTAAAACAGGTATTATAATTTACCGTGGCGCGGATGTAGAATTGAAAAGAACTTTGCTTTCTTTTTCTCCTTTTCTAACTCTCGTTGATGTTTCAGCTTAACAACACCAGTAACTGGATAAGACTAAAGAGTTGTCTTGTTAAATCCGAGCAATGTAGGAAGCTTTCCAAAAAATACAAGGTCTACTATCTTTATATTATCGAATATTCGACACTGATTATCTTTGAAATGTTCTTGATTTTAACTAATGATTTCAGACTATCAAACAATTAAAATCCGCAGAATTAACACCGATAGAAGCTGGATGTTGTCGACCACCCTCTGAGTATGCATATATATATATGCCTCTTCTTATTATTCGTTGATGTTTTGAATTCACTGCGAAAGATTGAACTGTCTCAATGTTTTTTTTTTAACGCAAAGGTGTGGTTATCCTGCTGTGAATGCTTCTTACTATGATTTGAGCTTTCATTCGATAAGTTCTAACAAAGATTGTAAGCTCTACAAGAATTTGAGGACCATCAAGTGCTACAATTGTGATTCTTGCAAGTAGAGCCATCAACTTCCCCCTTAAAGCTCTTTTGCTACAATGGTCTCATTCATTTTCAGATATAAACTAATGATTTTGTTCGTTTGATTAATAACTGCAGAGCTGGAGTAGCTCAGTACATGAAAACCGAGTGGCGACTTGTTGCGATCTTCAATGTGGTTCTGTTTGTTGTCTTGGTAAGCTATCTTTAACATACAGCAAAATCCAAGATTTCTTTTCTTGGAACAACAATATTTGGCCTTTTAGAGGTTTGATGCAACCACAAGAATCATAAAAACAGTTTTTTTCGACTTTTACTGATCTTGAATAGTTCTTGTGAGAACTGATTTGGTTGTTTTCTTTGTTGAAACACACAACAGTCGATGGTTTACTTTGTTGGATGCTGCGCCAGAAGAAATGCCGCTAGTTACCGATCCAAAGCTTAGAAATCGAAGCCCGGTTAAAAGATTCTTCAAGTTTCAGAGATATCCCACGCTGCGTTGGTGAATGCTTCCAAGAGAGACACAAGAGCAACAACTTCTCTTCATTCTTTTTATTGTGTAATCAGTGTGTTTTTGAAACAGAAGAAATTCAAACAGGAAAAAATTTGATGGGAATTTACAAAAATGCAACTTTTTGTTTTCCTTCATCAGAAGAGAGTATTAGACCATCTCCAATGGTGAGAGCCATCCAATGGGCTCTCACCATTTTTTAAGTATAAATTTTTTGAATTTGTTAGATGAGAGCTTATGTTTTTTTTAAAAGATTTTTCATAGTCCAATGGTAGTCTCTTTTAGTAGGGTTCTCTCAAAAAAATATATTATTTTAAAATTATTTTATTTCATAAAACTCAATTAAAAAAAGAGACTACGATTAATAAGGAATTTGGTAATGTACATATGAATAAGAATGTTCTAAAAGGTTTAAAGTACCCATTACATGATTTGAAGTCTTCAACAAAACTGAGTTTCAGAGTAGTAATGTGGAAATAATAACCGGGAGAAATGTTTGAGTGTGGTTTCATATATATCTTGCTTCTCACTTTGAAAATTTGTATTTAAGTGTTATTGAAACACTTGATCAAATTTATGTGTTTTTGAAAGAACTCATTTTTTTTTTTGTTAAAAACAAAATCCGATGCTAAAAACATTTTCCTCCATCTAGCAATGAGAATCTTAGAAGAAATGTCTAACATGAGAGGCTGTGACCATATATTCACAATTCCTTACCATGTGAAAGCAAGTAAATAAAGAGGAATGAGATAGGAGAGAATAGAAATGCAGTAGACATCTTGACCAAACATAAAGGTCAAGGTCAATAGAAATGTAAAACAATATGTGGAATGTTCCGTGGTATGGTTCCGGTCAGACATGCTATTACTCTGTTGGAAACTTGCTGCAGGAAATAACAACATATCAGGCTCACCACTAAATGATTGCACAGGCTTCAAAATCTTGCCAATAGGGATAAACCTGGAGACAGTTTTTCCACTGCAAAGCAGAAGCATGCACAATAAATTAGGTACTTGTGTGCTTGGTAAAACTTAAAAGCATAGATGAGAATAGGTCATGAAAATTACAGCAAATTCCACCATTACCACCTATCTTAGAGACCATTAATACGGAGTAGTTCAAAACATTAAGTCATCATGGAGTGCAGACAAAAGAATACTAACTATATGGATAGAGCATACCTTAAATACTGAGTTTCAAGTTGGATCCCGAAGGTTGGCATGATTATCACAGATTCTGAACAAATCAAATCAAAGAAAAGCTAGAAGTAACTAAAACGTGAAGCTGATGTCAATTGGCAAGCCTATAAAGCGTGTACAATTATAAACCAGGATCTCACCTTTGTTGACGAACTTGCGACTTTGTAGCATAACTAAGAAACCACTTAAAAGGCAGCCCCAAGAAAGAGTTCTAGCTGGATTGTCCTGTTTCATGTTAATTATCACTTTTCAATTCGAGTGAAGAAGAAACAGATGGAACAACAACAAAACAAGCTTGTAATGGAACACAAATTAAGTAAAGTGCTCTTAAAACAAACCTTGAAACAGAATGAAAACTATCAAACTATACTCCATCATCAATCGTAATAAACAAAATGGTATGCCTTTCTCATAATATGCACTAGCAACACTTGTTCTAAGCAATGCCTCAGAATTACTCAAATGTCAAGCAGATTCATAACTAAATAACAATCAGGACAACCAAATTTCCCCTAAAAGTATCATTACCTTTCCAAGAAAAAAGTACATAGAACTCGCCAGAAGCACAAGGAAGAAACCAATCCCCCTACGACGGGCATAACCAGTTGATCTGCCTCCGTTGATAATCACATGATGAATGTCAATGGCTTCTCTAGTTGACTTACTTTCACTGATACAGCCACACAAATACCCACCCGAATGGATTATCCCCTGAAGCTCTCTCTATTAGCCATCAAAAGTGATATAAGTCAGATACAAAACACCCTAAAGGAAACTATCAAGACACAAAGATTCAGACTTTACCACAGGTGGTGTCGAAATATACTTCACTGGAGCTCCTTCAAGTATACCAGTTTCCAATAGATTCTTCACGTTAGATGGATAGCTCAAATCCAAGATCCCTTAATCAACCTAGAATGTCCCTGAATTCTTTTCCAAATCACCATATTAAAATCACAAAGAATCTCAAATTCCACAACTTTTTGCAAATTCTAGTTCAATAGCTACGAGAATCAAAGAGCAATCGAGAATAAAAGTCCAAAACCCAGACAGACAAAATAAAAGGAAAACAATCGGACAATGAAAACCGAGAGACAATCGAATGTAAGAACAAACAAAAACAGTTCTATGAATCAAGACGAACGATAAGATTAGAAGAACAAACCTTGCAAAATATGGAATCCATGTATCTCAGAGCCGATAAGCCTACCGGAATCAACGTCGGCCATCTCCGTTTCAGGTAAGTCCGATGATCCTCAAAGTCTCAGTTTCTCCATCGCCATCTCGCCTAAAGAAAGAGAGAGATAGTCGGGACAAAAACGAAAGAAAAGAAATACTGAAAAAGACAACGACACGTAGGCGTCTCTCTTCAGCTCCAAAATCTCTCTTAAGAGAATCGTTTCTCTTAATATTAAAGCTTTTTGATTTATTTTTTTCACAATAATTCAGAGAGACTGTCATGAGAGATCTATTTTTCTCCCATTGGAGATGCTCTTATGAGATAATGCATAATGTTAAAAAATCTCTTTTGATTTGCTTTTAAGGATTTTATCGGTTCAATCTCATAAGCCTATTTCTTATGCAAATCAGACCGGATATCAAAAGCTAAACAAACCGGATTTTGATATCAAAATCTGGTCTTTTTATCTTTAACAATCAGAAAATGAGATATCCGGTTCAATTAGTACATAGACAATTGTAGTTAAATTTAACCGGTTCAATTGCATACCGAGTTTTTATGAAAACCAGACCGGATATATCAGTGAAGCGCTTCCAGTTACTGCCTTAAACCCTAAAACCTCAAGACCAAAAAAAGCATTTCGTCTGACAAAAGAAAGTCACCGGAAAATGTACTCGTTAATTCTCCGGGAACGATCTGGATCCTTAACAGGGTCCTTATGGAGCCGAATCTTCTCTCGGAACATGGGTGGTGGTCCGAGAACTTTCCCTGGAGGACTGAACAAGTGGCAATGGAAACGTATGCACGAGAAGAAAGCTAGAGAGAAAGAGAACAAGCTCTTGGATCAAGAGAAACAGCTTTACGAAGCTCGAATTAGGACCGAGATCCGAGCTAAAATGTGGGGAAATCCAGATTCCAGCGAGAAAACGGCGAAATCGAAGCAGAGTCACGGACCAATGAGCCCGAAAGAACATATCAAAACCTTGGCTGATCGGTTTATGAAAGCTGGAGCAGAGGATTTGTGGAACGAGAACGATGGGCCGGTGAAGAAATCAGATGATGGGTCGGGATTAACTCGTAGGGATAATGGACGGTCAGGTTCGAATTCGATTGATTCTTCTTCTAATTCGTCTATTGATGTGAGGAAGTTAGTTAGTGGGACATGTGATTCAATGGGTAATAGTCGGGTTTTCGATCGTAGTAGGAGAGGTTTTTCGAGTATGAGTAGAGGTAGATTTAAGAGAAATGAGAGTTCTTGTGATGAAGGAGATGACTTTGATGCTAAAAAGCTAGATACTTTAAGTCCTTTTTCTCCTAAATTTGCGGGTACCAAGGAGAAAGTGAAGAGCTCGAAGAGTGTTGTTGGAGTTATAAGGAACAAAGGTTTGTTTGGGAGAAGGAAGTTTAGGAAGAATGATAGTTCAACTGAAGAGGATTCAGAGGAAGAAGGCGAAGAGGGAAAGATGAACGGTTGGATGGATTTGAGGAAAACAGGAAGCAGTGCGGCGTTAGGAAACCACGATATCAAACTGACGAAAAGAGTGAATCGTAATGTCACGGATGAAGAGCTTTATCCTCCTTTGGATATTAATACAGTCAGAGAAGATCTTAGTAAACGAAAATCTGTGGATAATGTAATGGAGGAGAACCGAGAGCCTCATGACTCGATTTACAGTGGAAAAAGGTATGTTAAAACGCACTGTGTTAAGGATTCTGATTTGTCAAGTTTGAATCTTGATGAGCTTTTTCCCCTTCTGTAAATGGTTGCAGATTTGATGAGTCTAGTATATCTCCTTTGACGCTAAAGGCGCTTTCTGCGTCTGGCATTGTTAAGATGACTAGAGTACAGGATGCCACTCTCTCTGAGTGCGTAGATGGTAAGAATTCTTATAGTTCGTTTCTTGTCCCGGTTCTTTTCTGACTACTCTGCTTTGGTAGTTTGGTTTTAATTTCTTCTTTTTGCTCAAATGGTTAGCATTTGACAACGTATTATCCTTTATGTAAAGCAGGTAAAGATGCATTAGTCAAAGCCAAAACCGGGACGGGAAAAAGCATGGCGTTTTTGGTAGTTTACAATCCCTTATCCTGAGATCATGGGCCTTAGCTTTTGTTGTTTCTTTAGATAACGCTGTTAGATTGAAAAAACAGCTTCCTGCAATTGAAACAGTTCTGAAAGCTATGAACAGCGGTAATGGCGTTCACAAAGTTGCTCCGATTTTTGCTCTTATCCTCTGCCCCACAAGAGAACTTGCAAGCCAGATCGCTGCAGAGGGCAAGGCTCTGCTCAAATACCATGACGGGATCGGTGTTCAGACTCTAATTGGTGGTACCCGCTTCAAACTTGATCAGCAACGCCTAGAATCTGAGCCATGCCAGGTTTGACCAACCGTGATTCTCTGTTTTACAGGAATTGTTTATATTTCTAGTTGTTGTGGTGAATCTTCTTTTCTTTCCGTACCTTGTTGCAGATACTAATTGCAACTCCGGGAAGACTCTTGGATCATATAGAGAATAAGTCTGGGTTAACATCGCGTTTGATGGCGCTTAAATTGTTCATAGTCGATGAGGCTGATCTTTTGCTAGACTTAGGATTCAGGAGAGATGTCGAAAAAATCATTGATTGTTTGCCTCGTCAGAGACAATCTCTTCTCTTTTCAGCTACCATTCCAAAAGAGGTACAATTGTTATATAACTAACTTCATATTTTCTTACC